GTCCTTTCCCACTATACAGACAGCATTAATTCAGGCTCTTCATGATCTTTACTTTAAGTCATGTGATACAAAGCCTGAGTATTGAATAATAAAGATAGTTCGAGATTAAGAAAAGAAGTTAATGTAAAAAAGCCAAGATAATATTACTAAGTTAAAAAACTGTAGACAAAAATGAGTTTGACAGTTTAAATGATAATGAAAGATGACACAGATGGTGAGGTGATGGGTATTTGTTTCCATGTCTGATAATTTATTGAGAAAGGGTTGAGATGAAATATAGTTAAGCTCTAAGACTTGTTCAATAAAGTTACCAAGGGGGATTTGTGATATCACTTTGGAGGTCATAGGAAAAGTACGTTACTAACTGTTCAAACTGGATTTATAATACTTTGTCCTATTAGAAATGTGGTTTGATTTTTTACCTTATGTCAGTTCAGCCTAATTAATTAAAGATGACCATTTTCAGATTAGAATATATTTTGGCTTTTTGGTGAATTAAGTATCCTTCTAGAATTTAGTATATTAAATTTAGTATATTAAACTGATGTACTGGTTTATTGATTTCTCCCTTATTATGACTTAATTAGATATTTTCTAATATCTGCAGTAATTAAGGTTCTTGGAGAAAAGCAACTTATTTTAAAGCATGATTCCCGACCTTATGGTGCTTGTTTCGGAATTAGAAACCAGTGGTGAAAGATTATAGATGGCATGTATTTCAGGCTACGGTTTTATCTGCATTGTAGGAAGAAGATATTTGGAGATTTTTTACCATTATTTTAACATGATTGGAGTCCCAGTGTAAAATAGTAATAGGGCCACCATTATGAAATGTGAAGATGGAGGAGAGGGGAGGAATACAGAGCTTCTTGGAGTAGGCTGTATGCAAGATCAAGGTGACAGATGATCACGCTGTGGACTAGCACGGGAGGGGAATGGAAGGATATACAAAATTTAGTAGCTTCCCTAGATGTGGTACTTGGAAGAGGCAGAATTCACCGGAGTTATAGGATTTCTGAGCTCTATCTGCAAATAAGAAGGTGGCAGAGTAAAAGCAACATTAAAAAGGTAACTTTGAGATGTTGGTTTTGAACATCTTGAGCTCATAGGATCTTAGAATCTAGTGAGGCAATAGAACAAAGGGGTAAGAAAAGTTTTATCTAGTAATGACACTAGATTTGATAATTTTCTTTCTATAATACATTGTTCATTATCTTTATATTATTACAGGACGGAGTATTTAAATTGCTTTTGTTGTGTACATTTAGAAAAATGTTCCATGGGATTCAATGTTTCTATATTAAGGCTACTTTATGTTAAAAATGGTCATGTAATTTGCTATGTTCTGTTTTTTTATTTTTATTCTTTTTATGCTTGCCTTTCTTGGCTAAAATAAAATCTAGGATAAATTATATTTATATATATTTTTTCAGTATTCAATTTTAATTCATTTGTTGATTTTAATAGGGAATAGATGTTCTTTTTTACTGTCAACAAAGTCTTTCAAATTTGACTCCTATTTGGGGATTAGATCTATATACTTGTGTGCATGCTGATAAATAGGTAAACTTGTAAAACTGGAAGGGACCTTAGGAGGGCCTTTGAGACCATCTAGTACAGCATCCATGTGTCTCAGATTAGTAATCTGAGGTCACGAGAATGGTAAGAATGCCTATATTTATTGAGTTGTAATCTAACATAGTTATTATAATAATCCTGTGAATAAGTCCCATAGAAAACTATTGACCTCAGGAACTATTTTCTTTGTAAACGTCTTTCACAATTTAAACAATTTAGTTCTGTACATTAGAGAAGAGCAATTATTATTTCTGTGTTGAATTGAAATCTTGTATCTGTTAGGTTTTACATAATTTTAAGATATTTTAATTAATAAAAAGAAATGCTAATTATTAAATGATGGGCCACATCTATTATTTAATATATAGCCATGTGCTGCTTAACGACTGGGATCCGTTCTAAAAAATGCTTTGTTAGGTGATTTCATTGTTGGGGAGAATACCATAGAGTGCCAAAAACCCATATGATATAGCCTACTACACACCTAGGCTCTAGGGTATAACCTGATGTTCCTAGGCTACAAGCCTTTACAGCAAGTATGTCAAACTCAAAGGCTAACATGGGCCCAAATAAGGTTTGAGTTTATGTGGGCCTCAAGAAAACAAAAGCTTCAATTTTCATAGAAATGTAGGTTTATTTTCATCAAGACATGCTGAATACAAAGGGCTGAAATAAATTAGTAATTGTTAACATAAAATAATAGAACATTTTAATAAAAATTAATACTTCTTCTTGAACATTAATTTATCAGACACTGAATAACTTGACAAATTAATTAGCATAGTGCAAATAAACATTTTTCTTGTTCTCCAAAAGCGAAATATTTCTTTTAAAAAAATATTTTTATTGATTTTGTAGAGAGAAGGGAGAGAGAGAGTTAGAAACATCGATGAGAGTCATCGATCAGCTGCCTCTTGCACACCCCCTACTGGGGATATGCCAGCAGCCAAGGTACATGCCCTTGACTGGAATCGAACCCGGGACCTTTCAGTCCCCAAGCTGACGCTCTATCCATTGAGCCAAACCTCGGCGCGAAATATTTCTTGTTGCGCATACCAAACAAGTCAGTATAAGACTAATGACATGGTAATTGGCTGCTAACATATTTGTTGCTAGTATTAGTGGAGAGAAAATGGTGCACCTTTGTGTAAGACGCATAAAGGAAAAGAATGCAACATGATTATAGTAATCAGTCATTAGCGAACATTGAGTTTGACGTGCTTGCTTTACAGCATGTTACTGTACAAAACAACACAAGGTTAAGATAAATCAAGCACAAAAGAAAGGGATTCATGCTGTCAAGACACTGGTAAATATGAGATATACGAAGCAGCTACCAGCCTAACATGCCATAATATTTTACAACAAACTTTTTTTTAAATAAATACAAAGAATAGGATCTAACAATAAAAAGTGTAGTATAGTGAATACATAAACAAGTAACATAGTTATTTATTATGATTACAAGTATTACGTACAGTACATAATTGTATGTGCTGTACTTTTATAAGATTGGCTGCCCGTTAGGTTTGTTTTCACCAGCATCACCACCAACAATAATGGGTTGGGCTGCAGTGTTACTATAGCAATGATGTTACTATAGTTTATAGTTTCATTATAATCTTTCTAGAGGCCTGATGCACGAAATTCACGTGCACCCTCACGGCCTGCAATTTCTCCAATTTGGGATCCCTCTCGTAATCCAGGACCGCTGGCTCATTTACCTGCCTGCCTGCCTCATTTACCTGCCTGCCTGCCTCATTGTCCTTAATTGCCCTCCCCTGCTCACCTGGTCTCCCCTAACTACCCTCCCCTGCTGACCTGGTTACCCCTATCTGCCCTCCACAACTGGCCTGGTCACCTCTACCATCTCTGCTTCACCCCCGGCCACCATGGCTTTGTCTGGAAGGATGCCCGGAAGACCTCTGGTCTAATTAGCATGTTACCCTTTTATTAGTATAGATAGGATCACTACTGTATAAATAGTTGTTGTTGATAGAAATATCCTTATGCAGTGCACAACTGTAGTAAAACAATATCACTTAATGTACTTGTTAATTTAAAATACTTTTTCTTAAATCCAAAATAGACATGCACATATTTTTTTTATATTTTAAAAATACTGCTGATAAAATATTTAAAAAAAATATAATAAAGTTCTATTTTCTTTCATTCTTGATCCTGTGATCCTGAAATCCAATTCATTTAATTTTCATTAAATTTCTAAACTACTTTGACAGCCATACAATATATGTAATAAAAGTATGTATATGTATATGTATATAAATATAGTTAGGTTGGTAAGTTGTCTATGAGTTAAATTTTTATTTGTTTTGTTAATCTGGAAATTTTATTTCTTTAATGCCAACATTTCATTAATTTTTCTTTACCTTCAAATATCTGGGCAGCTGAAATGAATTGTTTTTTTTTCTATTAGTACAAAGAGGAAAATAAAATCACTATTCCATATATATGAAATAAAGTTTCATTTAGAAGGTTTGAAATATTTTTTATATCTTATATCTTAGATTTTACATATCCTTGCTCAAGTAGATATTTTTTTCTAGTAGAAAGTTTTACAGAGAAAGGCAGAAAGATTGGAGATTAAAGACTGAAATACACAAAAAAAGTCTGACAATCTCAGACACACTGGTTTCCTTCCCCGCCTAAGTGCTTGGAGCAGGAAACACATCAGTAGAAAAGATATTTGGGCCTATGATCTGAAAGAATTCAACGCCCCCAACACTGGATGTGAATTGGACTCAACAGGAAGGATTATTCAGTAGATCCTCCGTTAGTATTACTTTTTGTGCTCAAACAAAAATGCAGCTGTCTAAAGAATTTTAAAATTACTTTTAAAAGCTAATATTAAATACCTTATTAAGCTTACAGTCTTTTTCTTTAGCTAATACTTCTCTTCCTCATTTGTAACAATCACACTCTACTGTTACACAATACAGAAATGGAGAAATTATCAGGAAACCTTTCTCATAAAATGATTTTAGTTTTTGTTTTTTAAAAAAATATATATTTTATTGATTTTTTATAGTAAGGAAGGAAGAGTTAAAGAGATAGACAGAAACATAGATCAGCTGCCTCCTGCACACCCCTTATCGGGGATGTGATCGCAACCAAGGTACATGCCCCTGACCGGAATCGAATCTGGGACCCTTCAGTCCGCAGGCTGACGCTCTATCCACTGAGCAAGACTGGATACGGCTGATTTTAGTTTTATAGAGCAGATAAAAATTTAAGAACATAAACATGAATGTTACTTAATTTTTAACTTTACCTGTTAAGATAATTTTTACTTTGTCTAATAGTATATTAATACATATTTCTTTTGATGTAAACAAAAGTATAATTTTCATCTGTTTATTATTTATTTCTTAATAAATTTTAATTAAATTTGTTTATTACAGTTAAAAGATGGTGGCAAAGCATCTCAAGCAAATGTGAGAATAGGCGACGTGCTTCTTAGCATTGATGGAATAAGTGCCCATGGAATGACTCATCTTGAAGCCCAGAACAAGATTAAGGGTTGTACAGGCTCTTTGAATATGACTCTGCAAAGGTAAGTTGCTTTTGTTTGGCTCTGAGACAGAAAGCAACTCAGGAATGTGTGTTCGTGTATCTAATTCATAGTGTTAACTAAAAAGCATTTTTACTAGCCTTTTTTCAGTTAAATAAGAAATATGATGGCTCTTAAATTGAGTTATCGAGCAGTATAAAAATTGGTAAAAGCTTTGGATTATTTCTTCATAAGAAGGCATGTTTTCTTATACTGACAAAAATTGTGTGTATAGCTCAGTAACTTTAAGAATTCCTGACATTTCTCAGTGGAGCACAGGCTAAAAATCTTTATTATATTTGAGTGTATTCTTTTAAGGAATGATTTGACTTTTCTTAGTATGTCTTTTCTCTTTGTTCCTGGGTAGAAAAATAAAATTTTAATATATATGAAGTTCAAATTTTCTGAACTTCCTTTTGTTTTTTAAAGTTACCTGTCCTTAAGTATAAAATAGCTGATGATAATGTGGGAGGCATTTTGAATATCTCAATATTTGATCTACATTGAAATCACCTGAATTGCTTGTTAAAAATACTGATAGGATTCAGAATATCTGCAAGAAAAAACCAAGAATTTTATATATATTCAATCCTCACCTGAGAGAGAAAGAGAAACATCGATGTGAGAGAGAACATTGATTGGTTGCCTTCTGTATGCTCCCCAACTGGGACCAAATATACAACCTACATAGGTGCCCTGCCTGGAAATCAAACCTGCAACCTTTCGGTATATGGGATGTTGCTTCAACCAACTAAGCCCACCAGCCAGGGCCAAGAACTATCTATATATATAAAAGCCTAAGCGACCACCCAGCTGTCTGACTGACTGATAGCTATGACAAGCAGTGACCACCAGGGGCAAGTCGCTCAATGCACAGGCATGGAAACTTGGAACAGATTATTATGAATCTCAGAGGATAGAGGGGAGGAGAGAGGGTGAGAAAAGATTAACCAAAGATCTTCTATGCATACTAGAGGCCTGGTGCACAGATTTGTGCGCTAGTGGGGTCCCTCGGCCTGGCCTGTGGAGATCAGGTTGAAACCAGCAGTCTGACATCCCCCAAGGTGTCACAGATTGCAAGAGGGCGCAGGCCAGGCCTAGGGACCCCACTGGTGCACAAATCCGTGCACCAGGTCTCCTCTAGTACTTTAATAAATTCCCTGTGATTATTATGAATTATAAAGTTAAAACTATCAGAAGGAGAAAGAAGGAATGAAGAGAGGTTGATTGAATATAGCTTTGAACCTTTAGGTTTATAAGGAAGGTGGCTGTCATTTACCATGTGGCTATGGAAAGTTTTAAACAAGTCTTGTTTTTAATGATTGAAAAGTATTTCTGTTCTTTTCTCCCTCTAACATCTCAGAGTCTTCCATAAATTATCTTGTGTATTGTAAATCTTTTAAAAGGGGAAATAACATGTGGTGCCTTACAAATGTAGCTATGGCCACTTTTTTTAATCTCTCCTGGGATTATTTAAAGGATATTTACAGGGTAAATTATATATACTTGTCTGGAGTATCCATTTGGTCTTAAAACTGAATAGTAAAATTTTTTATGAACTTAGACTCACAGATTTACTTTGCTGTATCATGATTTTCTAACCAGTTTCTTTTTTTTCCCCTTGAGAAAAATTCCTTTCAGGACTGTTGAGTCAAAGGTTGTGTGAATTTAAATTTTGTTAACTATTAATTATACATTTTAGTGCATATAAAAGTAATCAATATGAAATATAACGTTGCTCAAAAAGTTATATTTGATAGTATTCTTTCTGCCCATAAATGAAAGTACTCATTTTTATTTATGGGTATTTTTACTAAGTATGATTTTGAAAGGGAATCAAGAAGTTAAGAAGCTTAACTGTGTGAGATATCAACAAAGCAAAACAAATACAGATGGTGATGGTCTGTTTCTTAAATTCTAAAATTGAAAGTTCATGTAGAGTATAAGCTCTTTTCTTGGAATGTGTATCATTTCTTTCAAACCAGCCTACTTGTTTTCATATTGTACTCCCTATTTTATGACCCAGGACCCAGTATTTTATTTTCTACTAGAGGCCTGGTGCACAAAATTCGTGCACTTGGGGTGGGTCTCTCAGCCACCCTCTCTCAGTCTGGGAGTCCTTGGGGGATGACCGACTGCCGGCAGTTGGACAGTTGGACAGTTGGACAACCTTAGGGTTGCCAAGGAGGCGGGAGAAGCTTTGTGCTTGCTTGTCAGCCACGAGTCCTGCTTCTGGCTGAGTGGCACTCCCCCTGTGGGAGAGCACTGACAACCAGGGGCCAGCTCCTGCGTTGAGCATCTGCCCCAAGGTGGTCAGTGTGCATCATAGCAACCGGTCCTTCCACCATTCAGTCAATTTGCATATTAGCCTTTTATTATATAGGATTGAAACCATTTGTAGGTCCCATAAGAATTGATGAAAACCAGAGGTTACCCTGTTTGGATACATTTCCAGTTTGAGCATTATTTGTATTTGTATAGTTTTGTGTTTTTAATGTCTAATAAATATTTTATGGGTCTCCCCCTCCCCCAAATTGGAATCATTTATTTATTCCACAAATATTTTTGAGCTCTTGCTAAGTGCATTGTTACAGATGTTGGGGACACACCATTGAACAGAACAGATAAAAATTCCTGCCCTCTTAGTGCTGACTTTTTAGTGATCAAAGGCATACAAGAAGAAATGTATAGTATGTCATGTGGAGATAAGTGCTGTTGGGAAAAAGAAAGCCCATAATGGAGATAGGAAAGGCCAGGGTAGGGAATTGCAATGGAAAACGGCGTGGGAAGGAAAGCCTCAGTGAGACGGTGATCGGACATCTGGGTCCTCAGTGTCCCAGGCAGATGGGAGAGCCTGCGCAGCAGTGGCCCTGTCAGGGAGGCCAGTGGCCTGGAGCGGAGCAGGTGAAGGCAGACTGGAAAGAAGTGAGGCCAGAGAGGTGGCAGGAAATGGGTGGGACGGTGTGTAGGGCCTGTTGGTCACTGAACTATTGTAATTGAATTTCAGTGTTCCTGGGCTTATAAAACAATTGTGAGAAAGACTTGGAGAGTTACCGTGCTTGGGATAGAAATGACTTCATATTGGAAAGAGGAGCTCGAAGAAGGAGCAGACTAAGCCTGTCCCAGTCTTGATAGTGGCAGCCCTGCCTTTTCCTGTAGAAACACTGGCTGCTAACCACTTCTGCGGCATTCCTGCTCACCTCCACCCAACAATCCCAGGGGGAGAATATAAGAGAGAAAACGCACTTTTGTTTTTTGAAATGAAAACTGCCAGCAAGTTTTTGTGTTTTTTTGTTTGTTTGTTTGTTTTTGCATAAGTGTTGTTATGTATCTATTAAAAAAATCCAAGTGATTACCAGAGGGAAAAGGGGTGGGGTGTGGTAGAAATGGGTAAAGGGGTGATAAATGATGAAAGGAGACTTGACGTGGGGTGTGGTTGGACACACAACATACAAACAGATAATGTATTATAGAATTGTATATTCTATATATTTTTTTTAACAAGTATCACCCCAATAACTTCAATAAAAATTAAAAACCTGTCTCTGCTTTAGGTCCAATCTCAGCATCCTAAATAGAATTTAAGAGGGAAAAAGTAAAATAAAAGATACTTGGTGAAGGTTATTAGTAACATTTTTTTTCTATCTAGTTTAATTTAGGGATATGTAATAAACCAAACATTATCTCTGTGTTATCCTAGAACAGTAAGACTGACTCACTAAACTCTGGATAGCTAATGAATGCAGAGGCTTAGAAGTTTTCATTTTGATTTGTCTTTTATCCTTGAAAAGGATTAGAAATAAAAACATTTCTACAACTGGTACTGATTTTTTTTTTTTTTTTAGTTCTCACCTGAGGACATGCTGGAGGAGAGAGGGAGAGGGAGGGAAAGGGGGAGAGAGAGCGTGAAACAGTAAACTGTTGCCTTCTGTATGTGCCCCAACCCCGGGGTTGGACCTGCAACCCAGATATGTGCTCCTGATCAGGGACGATGCTCCTACCAGCTGAGCCACTCCGGCCAGGCTGGAACTACAGGTTACAGTGAAAAATTCTATTTGGAATTATTTTTTCTCTTGTAAATTAGGCAAATAGCAATGTGTTTATTTTTAAATATCGAAATTCACTTAACTATGCTTTTGATTTTTTTAGTCAAAGTGGATCATTTAAAAAACCATATTATTTTAACTAATAAAAAGAAGAAAATACCTTTTTAAAGCTTTTCTTTCCCCCTCTTTCTCTGTTTCTCTGCCTCTCTCTCCTTCCTTTTTTTCCTTCCTACCTTCTTTCATTTTTGTTCGCTTGTTTGTTTTGTTCATCCTCACCCGGAAATATTTTCCCACTGACTTTTAGAGAGAGTGGAAGATAGGAGGAGGCACCGAAAGAGAGAGAAAAATGGATTCAAGAGAGACATATTGATTGTTTGCCTGCTGCACACACCCAGACCAGGGCTGGGATTAAGCCTGTAACTGAGGTTGCCCTGACCAGAATCGAATCCAGGACCCTTCAGTCTGCAGGCCGACATTCTATCCTCTGAGCCAAACTAGCGAGGGCACCTTTTTTAAAACTTTGATGTCCAAGAACTCTGTTATATATATATATATATATAAGAGTTTAAATCTATGAATAAGATTTTTTATTATTTCAATCTATTTCCATAATTCTCCACATGACAGATAAATTTGCTACTAACTTTATGAATTGGGGCAAGTTGTTAAACTTCAGGGCCTTAATTTTCTTGACCATAAAATGAGGTCATGGGTGATTTCTAACTTCCTATAAATTCGGATTCTTGTTCTGGTTTTTTAACTGTAAAATGATAAGTTCCCTAGAGCTTGGTATTAGATCAAACTAACTTAAGTTTGCTTATTTTGGCTGAGAGAATCAGGAAACTGGAGTTTCTTCATTGTAGTTATCTTAAACTGTGCCAGGTTAGCAAAGTGACTTGTACTATTCTGCTGACTTTAAGATGAAAGCGTGGTCAGATGGATATTCAAAAAGCATGC